TTTTGGTTATTTGATTGGAAGAACTCCTACTCTTGTATCAGATAATAAGATTTATTCAGTAATTACTCAACCGAACCTCAATAATTTAAGGCATTTTATTTCTATTTTCCTATTTAAATAATTTAGGGACGATGTTAATACTTTTAGGAAATATTAAAAATTTATGCAGAACTAATCAAGTTTATATATTATTTTCAATTTTTTGACACACTTATATAACTTAAAACAAAATGATTATTTTACTGTACAGTACATAGTTTCACTTGTCAATCGATTATCATTTTCATCATCTTAACACGCTTATATTTATTGACTGATTTTTATTGGAGATGCAAAGCATAAAAAAATTATTAGATTACCATTTTAGGGTTACATTTCATGATGAGTCAAAATACTTATGGATATTTAAACTTATAGTCCAATCGAGCAATACGAGAAAAGCTATTGAGACATTGCTAGTCTGATTCAAAATTGAATCTCGACTGAAATTCAAATTAAATTTGTAAGAATCGTCTTTCACATATGTTATGGTTGCATATGTTAAAAGTTTATGAAACTCTAAATCTTAAGAACTTGAAAATCTAATTACTCTATTATTAAGATCCTCCAGTCAAATCATGAAGAGAATTATTAAGCCATTGTTTGATCCTCATTTTTTTTTCAAAATACATTTTTTTTTATCTCTTCTCTTTAACTACACATTCTTTAATAAAATAATATTAGGCGCAAATTCAATTTTTTTTTTAATTTTTTAACCACATATTCTCCGTTAATATACTATTCCAAAATGTATTATACACCAAAAATGGGGTTCAAACAGGTCTTAAATGCGGAACATACCTTAATTCGCTGATAATGATTCTTTATTACTGGATCTTGAATCTTGAATATCAACTGCAATCTCTTCACGTTTAGTTTCTTAATCTTAATATTGAATATTGACTCTTTTTGAGTTTTTGTTCATGACTTTGGCTTTTTGCTCCGTAATTTTGATTGTTTCAATACCTTCTTCTTGATTGTTGATTTTCTGTTCTTGGTTATGGTTTTGGATCTTTCTCTTCAATATTTTTTTTTTCTTGTATTCTTATATTAATGAGATGACACAAAGAATGAAAAATCACATATGAATTGAGTACCATAACCCTATTTATATTTACATATGTATTCGGCACATCGTCAAATACAATCCTAATGGATCCGATCTCTATACTCATAATCTAGCTCACACTTTATTTAGATGTTCAAAGTCCAATTACTTAATTCTTTATTAGATCGCTTTAATTTTGGGTTTAAATTTAAGATATCATTTATGAACAATCAATTACATATGGTGGCTCCATGACAAATTAATGTTTTTTCCCAACAATCTTTCATTTGGGCCATATGTTACCTTACAAATGTACATAATCTTATGATGTCAAAACTTTTGTTATCATAACCAAAAGCATCTCTGAACAATCACCTCCATTATGTTAATATAGGATAAAAGCGA